TCTAATGATTTGGTGATCTCAATCTGTTTTAATGATTAAATCTAGTTATTTGATAGTTTCTGGAGTTCAGATCTGAGTTATATTTGAAAAAATATTGTTTAGATCTAGATTTGATTGAGATTACTCAATAACCGGTTGTTCTAGGAATAGATTTCAAGTTATTGATTGCTTTTAAATCCTGATTTTAATGCTAGATAGTTTATTAATTGTTTGAGGAATCAACATTTGAGAAATTATCTTAGAAATGTATTTTCAATGAATTGGAATATATGAATTTTGTATTTTGCATCAAGCTCATTGGAAATGATTGCTATATTTATCACTGGATTACTGGAATATAGCGGGGGAGATAGATGAAATTCGATCCCAGCTTTTTTAACCTGAATTATACCACATTTTACATTAGTGCTTTACATTAAATCATCATTTAATATTTCATGAAAATCATTTATCAATTTTATTGTATATAAACTCAATTAATTTGTATCTTTATTAACTAATACATGCGAATTGCTTCCTGAAGATGATATTTCGGTACTCTACCGGTTATTACTTGCAACAGAAGTGGTATACTTGCCATGTTTGAAGGAAAATAATCCAACAAAAGTTTTATCTGCATGAGTTAATTCAGAATTAATGAAAATGCATAAAGCCAAGGAGAATGAAATAATAGCAACTTATTTGGCACAACAAGACAAAGAGGATGAGCAGTGAGCAACCTTTGATGAGGCTTTTGTAAATTAAGGTCGTTTGTCATATTGAGGTAATCTCAAGTCTCTAACTTTCTAACATACCACAGCATGGATCATTTCCTTTTGAAAAAAACAATTGTCACCCTTTTAATATTTCATACAAAATGATAAGGAAATAAAATTGGAAAGCATAATGGGAAAGATGGTGAAATTCGGCCATAGAATTGACAGTGAGAGGGGGTTCCGAGGCAGCATAAGTAGAAGTGGGGGAAGCCGGAGGAAGGTCGTCGTCATATTGGAGTAGCAGCAATTGCCTATTAGGACAACGGTGAGAGTTTTGTTTGAGATTTTTGGTTAAACTCTATTAACCCTTTGGTGAGAAAAGCAAAATTCATAGATTTTATCTTTTCCTCTTCTTTCCTTCTTATTCTAAAATTACTGCTAAAATAATTCCATTGGTTGCCAGTGTTATCTACCAAATATCTCCTTCAGTTACTAGTTAAGAAAAAGGAAGCAAGAATAAGAGAAAATTTAGAGCTAACTCACCTTTACGGGAGCATAAAAAGATCATTTCAGCACCTCAACGTGATGAAGATGAAAATGAAATAGAAGAAGAAGAGGTAGAAGAGACATAGATTGAACATATGAAAAAAACAATAAACAATGTACTTAGACCACTACAATGAATAGTATGAAGAGACCTAAGAACATATTAATGAAGTTAACATTTTTAACAAAAGAATTATTTGAATATTTTTTTTAAAAGTTAGAAGATTAAAATGAATTAAAATAAAGTTAAAGAATGACATTGAATTTGGTATTTAAGTTTAAGGATGAAAATACTAATTTTGTGTAAAAATAATTTGTAGTATAGTTTGATTTAATTTGACTGTAATATAAAATTGAATATTATTTTTTTTATGATTAATCAATTATTTTTTTTTATTTTTTTTTAATGAATTTTATGGTACCCGCAAATTTAAAAAGATATTAATTTACTTCTTATATGGTCTAGTACATTAATAACATATGTAAATTAACTATATCATAAAATGAGTTAACATGTATAACTTAATGAATTTTTATCTTTAAAAATTGTAAAAGGACCACTATAACAATATTCTATAAAAGATGAAATTAAACCTAAGAACCTAGGCAAAAACTTAATTGTTAATTATTTTACTCAAAATTTATTATAAAATCCATTGATGATTGCTAAAGAATAATTTTTGAATAAGAGTGAATTATGCAAGTTTGGATTTTACTAGATGAATATTCAACTTAGGATGCCATTTCTAATTTACTATAGAAGTAAATCCTTTTTGTGATTAGTACTTTGGTAAAAATTATAGGTTCTAACAATATTGTCAACTGTGTAATGTGTACCAAATTGGGATGGAAACTCTTCTAGTATAAGATATCTCAGGTAATGGTTAATGGTGAGTGGTGATTCTTGGTCGTGTGTTGGCTCCAATGATTTTTTGCAGAAAAACACTATGACACCCAAGTTAGAAAAAATTTGATCAAGTTTAGTGTAGAATATAGTAGAATGCATACTTAGCATAGGAAATTTCCTCTTTATATAGCGTTGATGGATTTATTGTTTAGAACGCTTAGTACTGTAACCGTCAATGTATGAAAATACATCTCTTGTTTATACGATGAGCCATGATGTGTCGATAAAGCTATCACTTATAAAATGTTTTAAAACGATTAAGTCATATCAGCTGAGACCAAAGTAGACTTGAAAGTCATATTCCAAATTAGTTGTCCCCTATCTCAGGCTTGCCACTAAGTGAGAAGTCTAAAATGAGAGGAGTAAGATCCAATATGGTTTTGGTTTTCAATCGTTGCCTAAAGGGATTGCAATGTTCGAGTTGTTCAATCAATTTTCTTTGGAGTCGACTTCCAGAGACTTTTTCTACCTATGTTTTGAAGTTTTCCAAAGATTTTTTATGCCTATGTTTGTAGTTTTTCATGCAAGATTAACTTTTAATAGCAGTGCTCGCTGTTCTTCATTACTCTAATCACGGTAAGCATTTGAACAAACCTCTACTATATGCATTTCAGGAACCAATTAGTCTTTCTTTACTTAAGTATTGGGTCATGGTTTCTTAGTTACACGACATGAAAGGGTTAAAAATATAGACAGTAAATTTGATATGCAGTTTGATATTATACGTTCTTCTCTTGAAATATATTTTTAAATTTTATGTATCATAATAATTAACGAAATATATAACAATAAAAATTACACATTATTTATAATTGTAATTGGCTGTATTTAAGATTCAATCATCCTTTAAACCATGTACAATATAGAGAGGCCAAAGAAGACTCTCAGCCATGCACTCAAAGTGAGACAAGGACTAAACAAGAGAGTAACATGCATTTTGTGAATAAGTATAAACTAATTTTTATGTAAAATTTAGGGTAAGAACCATTCTGCAATAGACAAAAATAGCTTATTATAAATAAAATGCATAATACATATACTAACTGACATGGTAAATTGAGGTAAGCCACTAGAATTTTTTTTATTGTCAGTAAGGGTTTTGAAAGTCTTACATGGAGAGGAGTAGTAGGTGAAGACACCTTATTTTTTCAGCAATTACCATTCACTTCACCACTCATCTCCAGTATCTCAATTAACAGGTGAGAAGCACATGTAGCCTCAAATGTGTTCAGTCACGACGCAGCTGGAAATGCAACCATTGGCGTGTAGGTGCAAGGAGTATTCAGGAAAGTTTCACTCTCAAGAGTGAGTGCTCATAATTAATATACAGTAGTTGATACTTTGTACTGGGAATGCAAATGATAGATACAAGCTAGGAAACATTAACATTAGCAAAGGACCAAGAAGATAGACATAACAAAACTCCCAATCTTTGCTAAATTATTCAAAAAGTTCTTTTCAAATTTTGACTTGTGTCATAAATTTAATCATAAAATTGATTAAGATGATTTAAAAATAATTTATTTTAAACAGCTGTGTACCAACAAGTTTAGTAAAATAAACCCAAAAGAACTCATGAAAGTCAAGCAATTTTCATAAGTTGTTCACAAGTTATTTCAAATAGGCCCTAAATCCATAAGCAGATTGTATTTAAAATTCAAAGTTCGATTTAGTATCAAAGGAGAAATGATGGAAGGACAACAGCTGGCAAATCCTTTAAAGGTTACATGACATTCTTACGATTGATCAAATATCTGTAGACATCTGGTAAGTGGGCAAAATTTTCTGAAAGGTGATGACAAATTTCTCCAAAAAGTTTTCCTCAGTTATGAATATAACCAAAGTGAAAACTGTTCTCAAGCAAGCGAATTGATTTCAAGATTTTTATGACAGAATCTAGTGATAATCCTGTTCTCCAAGCTGTAGGCTACAATTTGAGGATGTTCAACAATATATTCTGATGAGAAACCCATATCCTTCACTAGGAAACTCATTTTTCTCATAACCATCTTTACTAACAAGATCATAACATCAGGAAACTTTCTAATATTTAGCCAATGCTGCTATATTCCTCAGCAAATTGGTCTTCAATATCTTCATTAAAGAAACAACAAAGCATTAAATTTACGTTGACTATCAACAATATTTGTGAAAGTGTGTGCTTGTTTTCCGGTTAGTATGAAGTTCCAACTTCCAAGCATACAAACGGAGTATCAATAACTAGTTACTTCCTAGTGAATGTATGTTAGGCTCTTCCCCCAACACATTTCCAATCACACCCTAAACTTCCCTGTCTTTCCAGTTATTCTCACAAAATAATCTACATATAATACATTCTCAAGCAACAAATATAAAAGTGAAACAGAGAATTGAAGAAGAAAATAGACTTTGATCCTGTATTAATGACAAAAGAAGAAATACAGCAAGAAGGATGACTCCTTACTGCCTAGAGCAATGCTCCTAATAGAGAAATCACTAAGTTTCCTCTACCCAAAATATCAGAAAACAGCACACCCTCCACAACACCTCATCATTCCCTAAATAACAGAAAGATATCTCACTCTCTCTCCTCTAACTGCCTGCACCCCCTTCTCTCATGCCACGTCAGCTCCTTCTCTTTTCTTCCATGAATATACTAACAATTTCTTAGGGAATGACTTTGTCTTATGGGCCAATGGTTCAATAGGACCAATCTGGAATTGGGCTCTATCAACATATTATAACGATTACAAGTAGTTTGCAATATTTAAAATATAAATGTAACCGCAACTCCACAAAACAGTATACATTAACAAGATATATTGACAATTTTAAGTAGAAGGATCCATATCCTAAAGTTGCAAGTCATTTTAACAGAACTCATTTATTAAACATATGTAATAGTAGAACAATTAAGTGCAATTTCACTCAATTTCAAATTAAATAAACTTGGTTTTTTATCCCCTCTGTACACTCTAGCTCAAAGATAGTTTTAATGGTAGAAAAGTCTATCACAGGTCATTTTTGTTTAAATGGACGGACAAAAAGTACAGTGTGGTTATGTAATACTAGAATAAATTGCAGGGATGGAACACATTTCCCATAAGAGATAAACATATTTAAAACAAAAGACAGCAAATAAGTTAAAATTCATCAATACTTGATTATACAACCAATATCCTATAAATCCGATCAAATGTACCTCTACCCAAGAAAAATGAAACAGAAAGTCAAAATGTTGGAACAGAAATTTTAAAATTTTAGTATTGAAATAGAAAAGTTGGAAGTAAGAACAATAGTCTGCAAAAGCCTTAAGAGACTATATCACATTCTCACAATTGATCAAATCTGTGTAGTCATCTTTTAAATGAGGCAAATCTTTCTGAAAATTGTTGACAAATTTCTTCAAAAACTTTTCCTCACTTAACCATAAGAAGGAACTAAAGTGCAAATTATTCTTAAGCAGACCTTTCGATGTCAAGATTTTAACTACTGAGAATCTAGGGATAATCCTCTTGTTCAAGCTGTAGGCCAGAATTGGAGGATAATCAGCAATGTCTTCTGATGCCAAACTCATATCATTCACCAGAAAATTCATTTTTTTTGCAATCACCGTCTCTGACAATTTCATAAAATTGGGAAACTTTCTAAATGCTCGAAGGGCCATTTTGCGGTCCCAGCCCCACCTCTCATAAACCTCAAATTTCGACTCCCATTTTGCTTTAGTCAGACCTAAAAGCACTTGGACAGCTTGGACAAAAGTTGTTTTCAAAGGATCAAACCCAATTTCCTCAACTATCTTGACAGCTTCCACAAATTCAGAATGCTTCGCATTCGGGGCGAAGGGATAATGGATCACAAGGAGAGAAATGGAAGGTTGTGGCACACCACATTGCCTCAAAACCTCAATGTTTCGAACCAAATCATTCCTCATGTCAGAATATCCAAAAGTAAATTGGCCCCTTCTCAAAACTCTAACAACTTCCTCGTCACTGCAAACTACACTTCTAAGTGACTCATAACGTGGGATGAGGCGCTTTTCCAAACTTCTCCACAAAATAATGTAGTTACGGATTATGATCTTAGGCATGTCAGTGTTGGAAACCCCAATGGAACGAAAGAACTTTAGTTTAGGCAAAAAGGTATTATCTGCCTTTGCAGTAAGCACCTTCGGATTTTTAGCCACAAGATTTGCAACATGGGTTTCGGAGAACCCATAGGTCTTGAGAAGATCAAGAACAGCATTTGGGCCATCTTGGTTTTTCAAATGCACATTTTTGGAGAGTTTCTTAGCCAATTCCGGGGACACCCCACATGAGTTAACGAGGTAAGACACTGTAAAGGTGTCACCTTTATGGTAGTTTTTATCTGATTCAGAATCAGAAGAGGTGGATGAAGCGAACGAGTTGAGGAATGAAAGGAAAGCATTGTGTTTGTGTTGCAGAAGAGAGCCCAATGGAATTAGGGTACCCTTATTGTTGTAGTGTGTGAATGATGATGCAGTTGCAGTTAATCTTGTAATCATAACAATAGGAACCATTTATCGCAATTGATGAAGGTACCTTCCAAAAGAATGGCGTTTCCAATTATGAGTTTTGCTAAAGCCACGAATCATCAGTTGCAGTTGATCTTGTAATCATAACAATAGGAACCATTTATCGCAATTGATGAAGGTACCTTCCAAAAGAATGGCGTTTACAATTATGAGTTTTGCTAAAGCCACGAATCATCACCTTTAGAGCATGACAGGCACCTGGTTTTCGGAGAGCCCGTAGTTGTGGAAGATAACATCATAGACGCCCTTTGCTTTGTTTGAAGTTTTCACTTTAAACCCTCTTCTGCAGTTAGTCGGAAGAATCGAACATAGAAGCAATTGGAAGGATATTTTTAAATTCGGGTTAAATTTAATCTATCAAAAAAATTATTTTTATTTTGTCCATCTAATTATAATATTTACATAAGTTTTAAGTTAATTTACATGATTTGAGTTAAATATAATATATATATATATATATATATATAAAAGATATATTCATATATTGTTAATAATATCACATCTTTCATATTTTTAAGTTTTAATTGTAATTTTAATTTTAATTGTTCACATTTAATTTTGTTTATTTTTTTAAATGTTTAAATTATATTTTTAATAAAATTTTAAATGAAGAATATAAAATAAATATATTATATTATTATTTATGTCATTTTCATAGGGTTATAATACAATATAAAATAAACAACACATAAAATTAATAAATTATTAATAGAGAATTACATTCATAAAAAAGTTAAAAGTCTAAATTATAAAAATACAAGGCCAAAATAAAAAAAAATTAAAAATTTTAGAACAGAAAAACTATATTAAAAATATTAAAATTGTAAAAGAAAAACATAAATATCATTTTCTTTATTTGAATTTTTGGAATTAAAAATGTTTAAATTTTTAAATACAAATAACATATTAAAAAATCATTAAAAATGAGTTTTATTATATTCTAAATTTTTTAATTAAATAAAATTATTTTGTAATGAGAAATTTATAACATTAAAAAATAAAAATATAAGTAAAATATGAAAAATAAAATCAATAAAAAATAAAGAATATTATCTATTGTTAAATAATAACGAAAAAATAATAATTTTATAATATAAGATAATAAAAATAGTTTATTATTAAAAATAAAGGAATTATTTAAAAAATAATATTTTTGAAAATTATTATGTAAAATATGAGTAAAGTTTGCAATTTGATTTAATTATATTATAATATTAAAAATTTATTTAAATATAAAAATAAGATAAAATTAGTATTTTCGTCTTCTAACTTAAACTATTTAATCTTATCCTTCAACTTTTTTTTATTTATTTTAATCTTTTAATTTTTACAAAATATATATATATATATATATATATATGTATATGTGTGTGTGGGGGGTGTCTCTTTCTTTTATTTTTTTCTTCAATCTCTTTTCTTCTTTCTTTTAAAAACCCATCACACAAAGACAGGTGGATTTCGTGTCATTACCTACTATGATCCCAAAAAAATTGAGTGCTTAAGAAGAATTATTGGTAAGTATGAGTATTGACATGAATTATGATTCATTTAGATATTTTCAATTTTATATTTTTTTCAATTGTATATTGCTCATTTTACTGAGATTATTGGATATATGTTTATGGATAGTTGATTCAATTTATTCATTGTGTTTCCTCCTTATATGAACCTTTCCAAAACTTTAATATCACATATTACAATACTTAAATTCAAAGTTTGATTAATTTTTATTGCTTAAATGCATTCTAAATTTGCAATAACATTATAATTTAGTGCTAGTGGTTACAAATTTTATTCATTTAGGTAAACAAAGTTAAACACTTTTTTTCTGAATTTTCCTCATCAATGTTAATTCTCTTATACATTTTTTCTAACTTGTAGCAATTGATTTAAGAATAAGTAAATCATGGATATTTGTGAATAGATGTTGGATAAAAACTTGACAAGTTTATTCATAAGTTTTATCTTTTCTTTTTCTTTCCTTCATATTTTGAATTGTTGTTAAAATGATTTCATTAGTTGCTAGTATTAACTATCAAATGTCTCATTTAGTTTCTTGTTGAGAAAAAGGAAGTGAAACAAAATAAAATTCAAAACTAACCCACCTTTAAGGGAGCATAGAAAGATCACTCTAGCACATCAACTTGATGAAAATGAGGATGAAATGATGAACATTGCACAACATGTGATAGAAAAAACAAAAAGTATTAATGGAATTAACATTTTAATAGAAGGACTTATTTGCAATTTTTTCAAAAGTTAGAATACCAAAATAAATCAAAATAAACTTGAATGACAAAATTGAACTTAACTTTAAAGTTGGAAGACGAAAACATTTATCTAAAAATAATTTATAGTACAGTTCAATTTAATTTGATTGCAATATTAAAATTGAATATTATTTTTTTACGATTCAGTTTTAATCAATTATTTATTTAATTTAATTTTAATAAATTTTATTATAACATCCTTAATACATTTTTTATAATTTACCTTAATATATGTTATTTTAAATAACACTTAATAGGATTTGTAAAAGATTTGGATAGTTTGGAATGTTAAATAGATGTAGAAGTATAGACTAATAAATATCAGCAAAATTTAAAAGAAACTTCATTTTCTAAAAATCTTGTTCATAACAAAATAAAATACATTTTATAACTCAACTTTAAAGATGAATGAAAGTTAAAAAATTCCACATCATATTTATATGGACATATTTCAAATTTATGATACAAACAAATTATCTTTTAGTAAAATAAATTTTTGACTAAAACTGAACATAAAATAAAATTTTAAACAATTAATTATTGAATATTTCACATAAAACTTGAATTATCATTACAATAGGATTTATGAAAATATCATGAGTTCTAAATGAAAACTAAATATGATAATATTTCTCAAAATAACTAATCCTAAGAGAACAGTTCCTTTCCTTAGAGTCTCATGTGAGTATGACGGATCCATCTTCTTTAATTCTTCTTTTACTTAAAATATTTGTAAGTGTGAGCTTCCTTTGCCCATTAAATTCTCATTTTGATTATATAATCTCAATAACATAGAAAATATTTTCTAGTACATTATGCGTCAAATTAAAATTTATTTATAAAATTATTCTAAATTAAATAGGAAATATTCATATACATCATTCATCATTGAATCAAATAACATCCATTTCTCCTTTATTCAACATAATCAATTTCTCACTTTATCAATACAATCATTCAATTTCTCAACTTATGCTACTTTAATTATTTCAGTTCTGAAATATTCATCAAATAACTCTAGGTACTCATAGACCCCCAAATCATTGTCAACATACTCTTCCTAGTTATAATGGACTTAGCTAGCATGGATAGCCATCTTTTGCCATCAGATATGGATATAACGTGTGTTTTGTTAGGCATTCATAGCAAAGATATAGTTAGGAGATCAATCAGGAAATGAGCGTGAGGCCTTCTAAATGCTTTTGCTACCATTTGTGTACATATAAACTATTAGCATTCATTACCCTCATTTCTTTAGATTTCTCAAATCGCCTCCAGATTTTATATCTCCAATGTATCTCTGAACTATATATACGATAACTCAATTGTGGCACATCACAGTCATATTGTCCTAATTTATATGTTACAATCACACTAATCAATGCATTACAACGTATGTGTTATAATCTCACCTATTGATGTTTACAACATATATACTACAATCACATCAATTAGTGTCTTGTGAAAAATATATCAATTACTTCATTTTCTCTTTTTCTTGCACTTTCTCAATATTTTTCACATATTACACCTTTCATCAGTATTTCATCAATTTTCCATTGATAACATAATTTTCTTCATCTCTTTTACCTTATTCATTTCATTGACTCATCCAAAGTACATGCATTCATTCTTCATCTAATTCACACATATGTAATAAAATATCTTTTATCATTCAAATCATTTATATCAATTTCACCCAACAATCAACTTCTCAATCAAACAAACAATTATAAAATAGAAAAATACATCATCACAAAACCAATACAATGCGCCAAAGGTTAGACACCTCTGGACTCAGATCAATCGCGTATTTCATAAATAATTTGTCAGAGATCACACTCTCTCAATCTTAATAAAAATCGTCTATCTTGAAGTTTTATCTTTTCCTAACAAACTTATTATTTTCAACACTAATTCACAATCTGAAGCTATTCATGCATAATCATCATTAAATAAAATATGGAACTTCCTAAAAATGAGTTTTTTTTACAACTCTTACTATGAAATTTTACTCAGGTAATAATAAAGATAATATAGGTTTTACATATCCTTAAACCCAATTTTTTTTATATTATATTTTCAAGAAAAACGTTTTAGATCTACCTTTCAAAATAGGTATATCAAATTTCTTAAACTGAATATACAAATAGAACTTAGGGTTTAAGGTTATCTCCCATTACCTGAAAATAGATCCTTGAAGTTATGTTCTTCATGAGTTCTAGAGAGAAGCTCCACGTTTTATCAGAAAATAATACCCAAAGACTAGATATCTTCCTAACATTGCAAGGTAAAGTACTTTTATAAAGAGATGAAACAAAAAAATAAAAATGAGATTCATGAGCTAAACTCTAGAAATTTACTTAAATTCAAGTGGAACAGACATTTGAGCTCATATTCAAGAGAGATTTTGAGTTATAGGAGGCTTTTTCTGGGAAGAGAGAGGGAGAGAACGGAGAGAATAGAGAGGGAGAAGTGGTTTGATGAAAAATGAAATTTCCTTAACACAACTCCTTTAAATATCTTTCAAATCTCGCACATTCTCGCTAGAGCCAGATCATTCTTGCCTGAGCAAACTCTTTGTTGCTTAAGCGAGATCCTCCCTTGTTTGAACAAAGCCTATCTCGCCTGAGCAAAAGTTGTAGACAGTGAATTTTTACCTAATTTTTAGATATTCTCATTTGTAAGTCTAGAAAGCTCCCTGTTTTTCCTACGACCCCTTACTTGGGCGAGCTTCATCTTGGTTGGGCAAGCTGCTTTCCGCTTGGGCGAGACGACAGTTAGGACAACTTTATCATATCTCGCTTGATCAAGGCTTATCTCGCTTAAGCAAGAATGCTTTAACTCAAAAATATTTGTCTCGCTTAAGCGAGAAGTCCTTATCAGAATTCTTATTTTTCCAAAAAAACAAGAAAATAAAAATGAAGGTGTTACATTTATAATACCGCAAATTTAAAAAGATATCAATTCCCTTCTTATATGGTC